GATCGATTTGCCTCGTGTGATAGGCTAATCAGCTCATGAATTATTAATGAGTTTTTGAATTGATAACAAAACGTACTGCACTACCCACCGGGAAGAGATTGATTTAGTGGATATTTTTAGTCATCAAAGGATTATTTTCAACTCCGAATATAATTGACTCACTCAACTCCAGTTATCAGCTCATACTCCGAGTCAACTAAAAAAAAAGCTCCAAACATCCCAACATTTAGTACTAAGACAATTTTTCCATTCGCGTTTGTTGTAAACGAGACTATTTACCATCCCATATCCAACGTGCGCTCTTGTATTAAAAGTTAGATATACAATAGCCTTATCCATCCTTCGAACAGCCGCCGGAGCCTGACCTTTTGACCCTGGCTTTCTTAAATTGAACCCTAACGTGATTCCCACACCAGGATGATCTTGAGCACTAAGTCTTCGTTCGGGGAAACGTATTGCCTATTCCCACTTCTCAGTTAACGAGCGTTGTGTGAATGTTAACATTTTCATCAGACCTCCATTTCTCCAGACATTTATGATGTATCGACCAGAATGTTCAGTGATGACTTCTGACAGCATGGTTATGGCACCATGAATGCTCTCTAACCGCAAGATGACTGTATACCACCGATTAATGATACCCAAAATGAATAAACAATAGCAAGACAAAATTATGGGACCATTATTTTCTCTTGATAATAGATAATGACCTCAGGTCTAATTTTCGAATACACTTGCAAACTATCCCGTCTAAAAATGTAAATTGAAATGGGTAGAAATCGATTTATTTTGGCGCCAAGCCACTAATGGCCCGCGAGCGTGCGAGAGTTTCGCAGGTCTCTCGCGTGATGAAATCGCTCGCCTGCTCGCAATACGCGGGCTTTACCGCTCGTGTCGTGGGACCAGTGAGAGCTTGCTCGAAGGCTACCAATTTTGGTAATCGTGGATTATTATAGACCAAATTGCGTTGACGTTGATGCTGTTTTTGAACCTTTTTGGCCATGTTAACAACAGTGCCAAAATGACTTTTACATCAGTGACACGAAGAATTGCTTCGTTCGACCTGTCACCTCAGGAAAAAAGTTTTCTAAGTCTTGTAACACCTTCTCACCAAAATTTAAACCTGTTTTAAAGCTTCTTTGTTAAACACGGTTGAAAATTATTTTTTTTCATCGAAGCTGCCTAGAACAATGTTTGCCAACTTCGAATTTAGTACATTAAAAATACAACTACTTGAAGTCTATAGAAAATTCAGTTATTCAGTTGTCACTAAACATGTTTGCAGGTATGAATGGGTTACAAGATGCCTGACATGGCTTGCCAACCGCTAGCCAGCTGATAAACCAGAAAATGAAAAACCCCTCATGTACTTAATCTGTTATTTGATCGAGTTTTAATCAAGAAATTGCTTCAAGCAACAAACACTTCCTTGCGGCGCGGGGGCTAATTTGCTCCTGCAAATTGGACACGTCCTTTAAAAAATTGACCTCCAGAGTACTGTTGGACGCGTGCACAATATGAAGCACTGTAATCCTGAGCTTATTTTGAAAACAGAGGCTGCAGGTGACATCGTACAACCCATTTCAACCCGGAAAATTAAACGGCGCCACTCTGTCGCAGTTACATTTCTACTTGCGTCAATCACTGGGGGGAAAAAGATCAACTTCAACTTTCACCTTTATTGCTTTCATCCCCCCTGATATCAAAAGGTTACATCAACAATTAGATAACCATTCAAAAAGAAAAAACAGTTGCTATCGAGGGCAAAAACTGCTCTGGGGCATGCTTCTTGTTGTGAGAAAAAGAACCTGAAATAGATTATAACGGAACCTCTTAAATAAACATTTTCACTATTTTTAAGAGCTTTTCAACATCCAAAGCCGCCTGAATTACGCGTGTAAGGTATCACGACCACCTTTAGTATTTTTCTTCCGGCAAAATGCACTTTCGCATCATAATACTGATAAATAATGCAGATCATTATTGTGTTTTGTTGTTAACAGACTAACCTGCATCCTCAAAAAAAAAAAAAACCTTCCACTTACAAGAGTGATATCAGATAGAATGATTCCTTACGTTAATTAAAGGCTTTTGATATGACTGGAGAGGAAATATTTTTAAAAGATAGAAAATTAAATTGTAGGCAATTTCTGTTTTGAATTTGGTGACAACAATAACAAAATATTCATGAGATGGAGACACACACCTCTCTAACAACGAATGACGTAGCAATATCAGTGGTTGGAAACTTCACGAGTGACTGTAGGGTCGAGAGAGGAATTTACAGGTATGGTAAACAAATTTGACCTCTCTAGTTCCAGTTTATATCGTAGTTTTTTTTTTTTAACTTTGTTAGCAAATTAATGGCAAAACGCTCGAAAGAGAAGGATTCATTGTTATAAACGACACCAAAGAACACGAATAAGTGAAAAAGTTAAATTTTGAACTGTCGAGGCTATGTTGACAAGATCAGGAGACAAAAAAACTCTATTTTCGATTCATGTAACAAAGTATAATCATCGATTTGCAGGTTATAGGGATTAGTGAAAGTTGTATCTCTGAAAAAGCAGTATCGTGTTTTCTAATATCAGTTATGCCCCAATGAGGTTACCAAAACTTGAAGCAAATTGCGTGCGTTTGACATTATTTGTCCTTATAATATTCGTCACGGTTTTTTTTTAATTAGCTGTGTTATGACTTTTGTCGACATAGAGTTCAAAACCAGTGTTCATTTTCCAAGAAAATCATCCATAAATGGAATAGGAGAGAGAATTATAGAATAAGTTGAGCTCATTCCCTGTTAATGGACACTGGCTCAACGGTCGAGCAGTAGCGACATATTTTCACAGGAGTGAATTTAATTTTTTTTTTTTCTTACTAAGTATAAATATTCCCACTCTAAAGGATTCTCTACATTTTGGGAATCGTTTGAAAAACCTCTGGCGCCTTATTTCAATTTATGCAAGTCTAAACATACACATATTTAGTTACAACTCCAACTTGAATCATTACATTTGATTCCTAATTCAAAATGCTGATTTCGATCTCGATTAGTAGTTTTGCTGCACGTGACTCACTGCACGTGATCCTTTGGCGTCGAAGAACGTTAATTCAACATTCTCAGTTGGTCACGAGCATGTCTCGCGTGAACAACAGATCTTCGTAACACACAAATGCCAATTTAATGAAAAAAAAAAAAAAAAAAACGGAACAAAAAAAAAAAAACGGAACTCCCTTCCTTGCTTGTCCAGTTGCCTACCTTCTCGACATTTTGGCGATGAAATTTCATTGGGTAAGCATTTTCGGATTCACTTCAGCAGTGTCAGCCAGTCTAAAAATAAAATCAGCGAGGAGTTGACATATTTTTTATGAACCTAATTAAAAAATCAATGCTGTGTTGCCCTGTTATCAATCAGTTTTTCATAAAAGTCTGTTCCTTTTCAAATTACCTATTCGATTTAAAATACCCTCTTTTCCATAAATTTTAATTTATCTTTTTCCTTTCACAGATAAGTTCATGATCGTTTGTTACAGCGGAGCTCTACGGTTTTTCCAGTTTCAGAGATTTGACAACGTGTTTGACACGAAATCAACAAACGAAGTTATACAATGATTACAACGACGTCTCCTGTCAATCTGTCAAATGGCGTTGAAATATCAGACACATCCTCAGATTTACATGATACTAGACATGTAGCATATATCACGGCCATGTTTTTCATCCTCACGGCTGGTTTCCTTGGAAACTTACTTACAATACTCGTCCTTTATCAACCGTCACTGCGCAAAGAAACCTTGACCCCTCTCATGTGTAACCTCGCCTTTGCCGATCTTTTTCTGACCATATTTGGATACCCCACGTCCGTCACCATGCTCCTTGCTGGCAGAGACATCGGGAGGGATGAAGCAGGTTGTAATTGGTACGGTTTTGCTAACGGGACTGTAGGAATCGCATCAATTGTCACCTTCACCGAGATGACTATTGTACTGAGTTATACCATGCATCAAATGAAACCCAAATACAGGTGCCCACGAAAAGTTACTTGCGGTCTCATTGTAGCATCATGGTCTTATGGTGTGATATGCATGCTTCCTCCTTTTCTTGGTTTGGCTCAGTATTCTCCTGGGGCTGCTGGCGTGAACTGCGGTCCTGATTGGATAGATATATCCCCCTCTGGCATGGCCTACAGTTTGCTACTGATCGCTGCTGGATTTTTTGCTCCTCTGTTAATCATTTCTGTTTTTTACTTCAAGATCTTCAAGTAAGTATTTTTTGCTTAAATGCCAGGAGGGCTATATTGAGTAACAGCACCATCTGTTGAAGGGAGTCGGTATAAATCTTAGCTAAGCTGTTTCAAATTGGCATATAAACTAGTAATCAAAGTTATGGAAACTCCCCCACCTTTCTGTTTAAAAGATTTGGGAAGACGGATGAATGACTCGAAGTATTTTTATCCCACCGAAAACGGTTGCAAAGCTCAATATTTATTTTGCGACTATTTTAGATATTTTCCTTAGCTACATCAATGCATTTTGTTAAAAAAGAATTGTACTTAGCTTTTTTCCATGTAGAGCATTGAGGCAACTTAAAAACGCTTGGAACAAGCTACACCATTCATATAGTATTTATATCTAGAAGCTTGATTCTCTTAATACTAGATCAGTATGACCTTATAAGAAAGTTGTCAAATCCAGCGGCCCGCGTAGCGGTTAGAGTCTTTTTCGATTGGGTTTCAAAAGCCAATCTGAACAAAGGAAATTATCACAAGGAGCCAATGGGAAGGCAGAGTGAAAACCAGTCAACTGCACAAAGCGCGGGAAAACGCGGGGGACCAAGGCGCAATAGGTTTCAGTTTAACATCTGATTGGTTGGGAGAGTGGTGCAAGTTTTCTGAACCAATCACAGGGCGTAGCAATGCAAAAACAGAGCAATCCAGAACTACTCTCGATACTCATTTTTAAATAACTCTATTTTCATATGCGTAACATTTGTTTTTCAGGCTCCTCCGTAAAGATATCGTCCCTGGTAACAGACCCATAAGAGTGCGGAGGAGAAAATGGCAAATCAAGTTACTTCGACTGACAGCAGTGGCTATCACCGTCTTTATACTGAGTTGGTCTCCGTACTGTTTGGTCAGCATTGTTAGTATCTTCAGAGGCGATCATTTGCTTTCACCCGGTGAAGCTGAAATTCCAGATATTATGGCAAAAGCGTCAGTGGTCTATAACCCCTTTTTATACACTGTCATGAATAGACGTTTCCGTTTGACCCTCTCGGCGGTCGTATCGCGTAAGAGACACAGACAGCGACTTCCTGGCAAGAGCAAAGAATCAAGCACTACTGCACACGATCGCAATACAGACAGTAAGAGTTCAAAAGTGGTCCAAAACGTATACTAGGCTTATTCCAACAGGCGTATACTAGGCTTATCGCTACGACGAAGGGCTAACGCTCGAAACGTCAGCTTTTGTAATCGTTACGGTGGCCAATTTACCATTTACACTTTGTTGATATATCCAAATTAACCCAACAATCCTTCCAATCTCGTACTTGTGTTTATTGGCCCACCCACGTGGGCGATTTCTAGTGACATGAAATGACTAGGAGTCTTACTGCTACTCCTTGGATGAAATGTTAGTTCATCGCAGGGTTATCCCCCCAGAATTTCATCAGGCTTCCCTGACAATTTACCGGTACCTGAGTGTAGAGAGGCACTATGAGAGTAAAGTGTTTTGCCCAAGAACTCAACGCAATTACCTGGTAAGGTCTCGAACCTAGATCTCTCGAACCGGAGTCTATTGCACTGACCGTTAGGCTACTGCGCTTCTACAATTATTCGTAGTCACACATAAAGTTACTTTAGAGTTCAAACGGGTTCTACAAGTCTACCCTGAAGATAAGGTTTCTGGTCATTTTTATTGATAATTGAGTGGCTTCTTGTCTAAATATCAAGTACAAAGTACGTTGTTATTCTCATGTTTCATTTTAAAATATAGTTTCAATAGTCCATTTTACAGTTATGTGCTTAGCTGCCAAGCCTTGAACAGGACTGAGGCTATAGGTGACCTTGTTATGAGGCAAACTTCACTGCTTTACAAATGTAAATGACTTTGTTGTCATGCCAGCTTGATACTGGTCTTTATCACAACAAGGCCACCTTCAGCCTCACTTCAAATCAATGGCGCGGCATCCAAGCACACTAGTGTAGAATGGCCTATTCAACGTCACCTGTGTAATAACATCATAAGGAACTCTGAAAAGGCTAAAATGAAATTAATCAAGTGTAAGCAAATCAGCATAAATTGTGGAAATGTTGCACAAACTTTCTTAAAAATTCGTGCTACTATCACGCATGTCTTCAACTAACTTATCATAACCGTGAGGTTCGAAAACAATCGGTTTATCATCATCATTTTTATCACTGTCGTCAAACAGAAATTTATAAACTGCTGCTACATAAGGTGTGTTGCCAACATTTCCAACACTGTTGTCAACTTCGTGAAAGTTTCTTGCATGATCATGATCAGGATCATTATCTTTGTCTTCTTTCTCATCGTCATACACATAAAATGAATCATCATCAATATCAATATCATTGTCATTATCATTCTCTTCGTTTTCTTTCTTATCTTGATAAATATCAGATGAATCCGTCACCGTTTTCATTTTCATGCATACGCTCATCATCAGAAAAATTCCTTTCATCCACATATTTGTTATCATTATTTCTATACAAGCTTATCCTAACCTAAGACTTAACAATCATGCTGTTGTACTTTGCAACATGAGAGATTTTCGAATGCAATTCCGATTCATCAACGCCATCAAACAGGTCAGGGAAGAGGTCGGACAAAAAAGTAATTTCTCTCTTTTTGCCAGAGCGATGATGTTCCACTTGGTGAAGTTTGCGCTCTCGTTGTTTTGTGTTACCATGGAAACTCAATAGCCTGTCAGTCATCGAGAGGAGTCTTCCTTGTCCACTAGTAGTTAGCAAAAACAGGCAAACGATCAGGAACGTAGTTTTTCCAATCATCATCTGTTGATATGAAAGTAAAGACTCAGTCGTCGAAATGGATAAGATGGCGATGAGAGATGAGATTGAAAAAGTTGTACCACCAAAATAAAAAAAAAAAATGTGATTAAAAAATGTGAATAGGATTTGTGGGGAACCTTTTTGAAACTAACTATCTGAGCGGGGAATGGTTCGGGAAATGGTCTCTTGCTGTCCATGGCATCAACGTCTTTAAAATTCAAAGTAATTTGGTTACATCAACTACGGTGGCCAATTTACAATTTCAACTTAGTTGATATAACAAAATTACCTTATTACCCCTACCAACGCAGCACCACAGTTTCTTTAGAAAATTACCTATTTACGCAATATAAATATTAAATTCTTCTTATTATTATTATTATTATTACCTCCTTTATTTAAAATTCAAAGTTCGTTAATTTCCCAATTTTTTACGAGGAAGAGGGAGTTCGTTGGTGACGTACTCCTTTTGTGATTGTCCCAGTGACGACACCGCAGTTAAAAGTCTTTGACCGGGGTAGGTTCGAGGACTTATTATTATTTTTTTTAACTTGCAAAAGGCGCAAAGAGGTTTTTTCCCGACACCAGCACTTGGTGTTATTAGATATGATAAATATATACTCGATGTCTCACCACAGCTTCACAAACGATGATCAGTGAATAGAATAAAGCTGATATATAAAGAGGTGTTTGTGATCTCAGGCATAATTAGCCGTGAAATGATGCAATATATTTCGATTACGCAGAAATATAAAATAAGAATTGGGATTAAATTCAAAACTACGGTTAATTTCCGTGTTGTTTCGATCATTCTCTGCAATTTTTAAGAAGCTGTGTGTAATGAACGTTATATGTGCAAAAAAATGGGTAGAAGGTATTGTGACGTGAAGTTTCTTCTCTTCAACTCAAACCTTTTGGCCCGAATATACTGATTTGATTTAAAAATTAAACTGAACAGGCCAAGGCACGTCCCTTCTTGCCTAGCTAACTTAAACTTCGTTGGCGAGTGTTACCTTAAATTTCTTGACCTTGCGCAAAGTATATTCCAAGCTTCTTTTATGTAAGTAGTTTCAGAACTGACTTCAACGCGAACCTTACAACAACAACAACAACCTTTATTTATTAGAATTTATAATACKRWA